TATTTAATATATATGAAAACGATCGATACAGACGTGTAACGGCTGCTGTGTGAGGTGTAGCAGTGCTACAAGACCCACAGGTTAAGAGAAACCACCATGTGAGTTTCATATATTATTGTATGTTTAACATTCAACCATAATAATAAAAGAGACTCGTCCTCACAGGTTAATTGGTCAAGCTCACAGTAGACTTCACTGTGCTTCTCACATAGAAAAATAAATCAGTCTTTTTGCTGAAAAAAAATAGAAGAGTAACGTTATAATCAGTGGGCAAAAACAGGGAAATTGCCGGGGCTCCCATCAACAGGGGGGTTCCAAACTAATATTTTATAAGAAAATATTTCCACAAAATTCCCCCGAAAAAATGTCTAAGGTCAACACTACAGATCAACCCTAATTCAAATTCGCCTGGGTCCCATGACGTTATAATGCATATAATTATAATTAAATAATTGTTAAATATAATTTTATTAAAGGAAATAGAAGATTAAATAATCAGAAAATAATTATTATAGATAGATCCACACTTAATAATTGCGTGTAGTAATATATAATGCGCATTTCTTATTTTAATAATTTTAAGTCTACATTTTTTCAATTTAATAATCACAATTATACTCATTTTCCTGTATAAAAAATTAATTAATTTTCAGGTCTTGTGAATAAAGATACGTTTAACATTTCAACAGTCTGGACTGAAATTATTATTAATGTTTGTATATATATTCTCCGGAGTTTAACAAATATTTGATATACATCAGAGGAATTTGTAGAACTGAATAGTTGCATTATTACGGTGAATTAATGAGTTTTATCTTAGAGTTTATTCATTTTCATAAGTTATAACATTTAAAAGAATTAATTAAAGGTTACAATTTGCCCTTTGTTGCTACAGTTCAACAGGAATTTGGTTTTTTACAAATACAGATGAGGTGCGAACCCACGACCCGTAGGTCGTGGGTTTGCACCTCATCTCTAATCCTTTAACCCAGGTTTAAACCCGGGTTAGAAGATAAATTATATAAAGAAAATTTACAATTTTTTAAATGCTCTTTATACTTAATGCTTTTTATAAGAAAATACAATTTTCTTATAAAATTTTGAAAAAAGTTAAGAATTGCCTCGGTTGAGTTGATCCGTTCAGACCTGTTGCGATAAGATTTGACCATAAAACACATCACAAGCAGTTAAATGAGTAAACGTCAAAATAAATATTCCAAATTGATTTACAGCCTATTGGCTATGTCACGTGGAGTATATCAAAACTGTCATACGCAGAAATGACTTGAAGCAAATTACTGCGTCAAACTGACTTATTCCAAAGATATTTCATATTAACTCGTGCCACAAAAACTGGTTACAAGAATTGACGGTTAGAGGAGCTCTCATTGCTTACAAGGTTCTCCGATTAATTAGAATATTTCTTGGTTAGAGAATCTATGATTGATTAGAGGATTTCTTGGTTAGAGCACTTCTTAGAGGTTCTCTGATTGGTTAGATAAATTCTTGGTTAGAGGATCTCTAAGTTTATAGATGCTAAATTGATATAGCGCCGAATTTGCTGATAAAATAAAAATAATTTTATTATTAAATAAGAAAGGTAACTCGAAATGCCTTTCAATACGTTTGAGTTGCTTCCTCCAATCAAACGAATAATGACGTTTCCCGATACAATATAATATAATTCAAAGGGTGTTTGATAGATATATAATTATAGTATAATATTAAAATAATATATTATAATTGTCAATACCGCGTCAACGAAATAGAATTTTATTTTCATTAATCATTTTCTAGAAGTTAATGTTTTAATTTTTATAGGTGTCAATAACTTGGAAAAATATCGAAGGATGACAAACTCTTCGATAACATCGTTAACTGTTTTAATTTCTTTACTGTAGGAGAAAAAACTATTTCAAAATATTAAATGTATATTATTGTCACATCGTCACAATGCCGAGTAGCTATTTTTAATCATTTTTTAATTTAAAAAAAATCACTTCACTTCCATTTCACCGGAAGTTCGTATATAATTAATAGGGCTTTTTCTAGCCCTCTAAGCTTTCCATATCTGTTCTCGATTTTCATCTATCTAACTCCGTTCTCGAGATTAATGAAGCACGGATGAACGGACAGACGGACGACAGTGGGAATGTCTAAGTTTGCAATCTGAAAATTGCAGCCCAATAATCGAAGTGGAAAAGTGAATCTGTAAAGAAAATGATTTGGAAATGAAGCATCATTTTCAGCATCAGCATCAATAGTGTATTTGTTATTTTTTCCTTATTTTTAAATTAATTTTTACGGATATTGCTTAGAAGAGAGAAGAAACAGAAGAGACGAGAGAAGAATGGTGAAGAGGAAAGAAGAGAGAGGAGAAAAGAAGGATTAAAAAAAAGAGAGAGGGAGAAAGAGAGAGAAGAAGAAGACAGGGGAGAGACAGAAATAAATAAAGAAAAACAAAAGAGAAGAATAAGAGAAGAGAAAAAGAGAAGAAAAAGAAAATTTCTCTCTCTTTTTTCTGAGAGAGAGAGGAGAGAGAGAGAGAGAGGGAAGAGAGAGAGAATAAGAGAAGAAAAGGAAAAAGGAGAAGAAGAGAGAAGAAAAACAGAAGAAAGAAAAAGAACAGCAGGAGGAGTGCGTTTCTATCTTCAGTCAATTGATTCAAACAGAAAAAATAATTGCACACCTCTCTCTCTCTTTAAATGGAAATTAATAAATTAAATTTACATATTTTAATCATATTAATTTTATATCTAAAATTAATAATACAAGAATTTAAATAATTCGAAAACGTTTCATTTCAATTAAATTTGATCTAAAATTGGTAGATATTCGCATGCATTTCAATATTAAAATAAACCAAATTCTGTTTCAACATTCGAAATTACGTTTTATAATCCTTTTATCGATGGTCCATGTTTTTGTTTATCAATTAGAAACATTATTTATATTTTTAAATAAAACATTTACTGGTTAAACGAAGCTTACTTAACGCTTTGTTTGTTGAAACGTTTAACGAAATAAATTGATTTTTTTTTATTTTTAAAATTTTTATTATATAAATTAAATGGTGTTAATTTACTTCATTACAAATTATTATTAAATATAATTATATACGATGATTTAACGTAGTTCGTCTAAACTCGGATCGGATCCGGGATGGAAAATCAATAGGAATTTTCGAGGGGTCTAAAAAACCTAGGAATTTTGGGGGTCGAAACCACTCGGGATTTTTGGGGCTGGAAAAAATCACTAGAAATTTTTCCGGGGTATTCTATCCCAGATATATAAGATCCCAGTCCCTCACCACCAGGTAGGCCGAGTCGAACCCACGATTAAAAGGTTCTCTTAGTCGGAAAGACGTTGAATCGAGACGGAAGTGACGTTATGCACCTTCTCTAACAAATGGTAATTCTAGTTAATGCAAGATGACGTCTTGAAATGAAAATATTTAAATTTTCCGATAATGCCTGACGTCTTTTGTCAATTTTATCACTTGTAAGTAGCCCGCGAGCTACCGAAATTATTGTCTTTTTTCCCCCAGCTTCCATCCATTAATTTAATCGAACTTTCTGACATTTCGTTGGGTTAATCCCTCAATCGATATCAATTGACACGATACTTACTTCTAATTTTGAACTCGAGAAAGTTTTATTTTAGATTCTTATAAAGGCAAAAATGTTTTATTATTAATAATTATAAGCATGTGAAGTTTTATTCTAACGAAAATAACCCGTCGATTAATTAATGATCCCCATTGTAAATCCTATAAATACTCGCTGTCACCGATGATTGTCAATAAATTTTGCACGCCATTCTCGAATCTAAATAAAGTAGGCCTATAAATGTGTTATTTCGCATTGTTTATATATAAGGCTCCTTCTGTGACGTACAAGTAAGATCTCTGCCATTTTATTGATGCTAAAATAAAAATCGATTCGTTTACAAATAAAGATTACATAAATATTTAAGAACTTCGGAAATTTTTTTCATTTTTATTTCTGTTGAATTGATGAATTTAAATAATTTCACCGATTTTAAACGCTTTGTTAGTTGAATACATTAACCATTGTAAAGGAAAAAAAAGGCTGGCAACTTAGTTGCTAGACTTTCCCGGCATTTTTTTTTTTGCTTGTTTTCATCCCTAATAATTGTTACCATTACCTTTATAAGTCTTCATTACCTTTCTAAGCCCCACTTCCTTAATATCTCCCTAATATTTAAAGGAGATATTGAAGGAGAGGAACCATATCTCCCGAAGCAATGGCCCGATTTTCTCGAAAATTTGTAGTAACATTTTCCCCCAATGTATAAACTTTCCTGCAAAATTTCAGAAATTTTTGACAAAATGCACAGGAGTTATTAAGCTTCAAAGTAGTTGAAAAAAATCGTGCACCCCCCGCACACGTCCGTACGTACATGGGGAAAAATCCTTTTTTGCATTTCTGGACATTTCAAGGTCCCCCGAATCCAAAAATTTAAAAATTTTGGGGGGCCATTTTTTGACTAATCACCATACTTTCCCTCTGTTATATATAACAGCCTTCTTAATTTAGTTAAAAATTAATTGCGTAGGAGTAACGAAGAGAACAGCATCATTGTTAAATTTTAATCCAACAATAATGCTCTTCCCTCGGGTATCCTCTTCAAACAATAATTCTATTGAATTTTATAAGCTATAACTTATTTAATCTTCTTCTCTACTATTAATTATTTATAAACGATAAAAATATTTATAAATATATTAAAATTAATAATAAAATTTCGTCATTAAAACCGTGCTTTGAAACTCTCAAACTCAGTCCTATATTATTTTATTTAAGTAAAAATAATCGAATTTTTTAATTATATTATTTTCGTATGACGTAATTAAAGTCATCGAAGATTCATTGGCTGGTCGGGGATGCTTTGACACTTAACTTTATGCACCTTGTATAACACGCTACCAAATACTTCTCTAATAATATACAATTGTTCGAAACAATGTTAATTAAATATAGAATTACATTATTTAATTTGTGTTATCGAAGGTAAGCATTATCACGATTTTTCTAGTCGTAACGTAATATAATTCGATCTCTTTAGACACAAGAGAAGAAGATAATTGATTAAGTGATCGTTTAGTTTTATTTTTTACTTTGTCTGTTACATATAACAATAGGAAAGTACGACCAAAATGTGACCCATCCCTAAAATGTTTACATTTTTGAACTCGGGGAACTTTCAAACGTATAGAAATGCAAACAAAATTGGAGGAACGGGTTGTGTATGTATGGGTGTTAGTGTGTGGGGGCAGGATTTTGTTAACCCACTTTAAAGCTTAATAACTCCTGTGCTTTTTGTTGAAAATTTCTGAAATTTTGCAGGGAGGTTTATGTGTTAGGAAGATTCATGCTATTAAATTTTGGTAATTATAGGTCAAAGGGGTGGCGAGATAGAGGGTAATATCACGTGTCACATCTCGAGTGGGAACGGACTTTTAATGAAGATTTTACTGATTATTAGCATTTACAAAGTTTTTATAAAACCCATCACTACCGTCAAAATTAAGCTTTTTGCCATTTTATAATAGTTAAAAATATAAAAAAAAATTTTAAAATAAAATCTCCTAACAGATCGCACCATACGCAATTTTAATTATTATTATTATTTTTTTGCCGAGAAAGTTAAGCAACTCGTTACTAAATTTTTATAACATTTTAAAATTTATTTAAATAATATAATAAGCTAACGAGCCAAATAAACATATAAAATAAAATTATTAAACAAAGCTTCTATTTTTAATTATTTTTTTTGTAAAAATCTGTGGTGTGAATCGCCATTTTTGTTGAATTGTATTATTTTACTACTGTATAGAAGATTGTTAATATAGTTAATAACCGCTACCGTATATATAGAATCGACAGGGAGAATTTCTTTCCTTTTGATTAATTTGAAAAGCATTGACCCGATCGAAAAATAAGTTAAAGTTCTCCATCGAAGCGAATAGTTCTCGTGAGACATTAATTAAAATTCATTAACAATTGCGTTTATTCATATACACAGCTCTCTTATTATGCAAAAATAATAAAATATTTATTGCCAATTCGTAATTGGAAAGAATCCAAAATTTCACTGTAAATAATCAGTTTGCAAGTCTAAAAATCATTTAAATTTATATACAAATTTTTATATAAAATATAAATAATTTCTTATAAAAGTTCATTTTTGTGTAATTTAAACGTTAAATTTATAAAAAAAACATTGAATTTTTTCCAAATTATAATAGTAAAAATGGCCAGTTACTTTCACTAAATTGGATAATACATATATTTTTTAATTAATATTCTTATATAATGGAGTAAATAGGAAGAGAATAAACGAGGAAAAAATAAAAATAATAATAATTTAAATACGCTCCAATGAATCAATCAATGTGCATTACTTGACCAGAAAAGGGAGAAATGGTATAATAAAAGAAGAAGAAGGGGAAAAATGGAGTGAAATTTAAAAGTGTAAATCCAATACAGCAATGTCCAGCCGAATACTCTTCACGAGGATAAGTGATGCTGCAGAGGACGATGGGAACGGAATGGGATTAGGCCAGACACATCTCGGGCATCGCTAACTGCGCAGATTGAAAGAGAAGATGTCGGAGAAGTGTGGCCGGTTGTCAACCGATGTCATGTAGGTAAGTCATCTTCCACGTTTTAATTCCCTTTCTGCACTATAATTTACTTCTCCCCGTTAATGCTCGGCTTGCAATTTCTAAACTTTTTTGCCATCATAATGGAAATGGCGCTCCATGTTAAATTTACACCCGGGGAGGATCGGGTGTAAATACGCTTATTACACCCGTTACGCATTGCAGATTGGCCCGTCTTGCTTAATTTTCCATCGTTTTTCCATTGTTTTCGTTAATTTACATCTCCTCCTCGTTTTTCCTCCTCCGCCAACCCTGTTTAGGGGTCCTAAAAGAAGGAGGGATGCTGACGAAACGTCGTCTTGTCATACTGGTTAAATGACAATAGATACGTCAAGCGGATTTCCCCCCAAAAAACACCGATCTATCGAACGGGCCACACTAAAATTTATATTATATTTAACTGTAGAAATTTATAAAATTTTTGTTTATATTATAAATATATATATATATATACGAGAAATATTTATAAAAATAAATAAATAAATAAACTTTTCGCTGCGTAAGTAATAAAAATTTACGGCTCTTTTTGCTTAATAAAATTGTATGTGCTGTATATAAGTGTATTGTTTTTAATAATTGAAAAATAATTAAATTAATTGTTTGTATGTAATTGTAATTAAGTGTTGCACGAAAATTTAAACAATTGTGTCAACATTGTAAGTAGTGTCGGTTCCGAGCAGCGCCATGTTTCCTCCATCTAACAATCGATAATATTACCTTTTGATCGACTTGCCTGTTATTTATCAACGTTAGAATGAAAACAAGGAAATAGAAAATAAAAGGAATTGCGCTCCAATTCTTAAGCATTTCATTCCCTTATGTTATAAATCCGGATGTAGGACTTCTCCCCCCAATTATTTATATTCATTTATTCCAATATTTAAATGTAATTAGGTCAGAATATCATTAAAATTATTTTATATCATGCCAAAATTCGTTTTAAATTTTTTAATAATTATTCGGAGTAGTATGATGGATGGTCTTCTGCAGTTTTATATTATTAATGTTAAATGGATGGGAGGAAAAGTTTTAACAGAAAAAATACACTTATTTAATGTACTTTTTTAAATAAAAAAAAGGCAAATTTTTATATTTCTGTCGTTTAGAAAGGAATTTTTCGTATCGAGAAAATTCGATAGTTCCGGGTGAGATCGATTTTTTCCTTTTTTATTATTATTTTTTTTCCCAATCCCCCTTCGATTTTGCACTAAACAACTCGTAACAATTACGCAGCATTATCTACCCTCGTTGTTTACATGACGTGTGACGTATCCGATACGAATTGTTAATTAAGAGCAGCGATGAACAAATGGAATTGGATTTAATATTTAATGGAGAGGTTATTAATGGACGGCGTTTTTGTTATTGTCATTTATATTTAAATTTTCTCGTTGCAGTTACACCGTCCAACTATGTCTCTTGGCTATCACATCGACTCCGTGATGCTCAGCGAGACAGCCACCAACGAGACGTTCGCAGAAGCCATTGTTATTCTCTTCATTTGTGTCGTGGTCATTGTTCTAAATATCCTGGTGATTGGTACCCTGATCACGTCCAGATCGGTTAAAGAAGCCATGGATTTTTACATCTTGTCTCTAGCAGTTGCTGACTTGCTGTGCGGAGTCTTAGTCATACCTCTCTCAGCTTATCCTGCCATTACACGTAAGTGGATGTATGGTGACTTCTTATGCAGAATAACCGGTTACGTCGAGATAACTTTATGGTGCGTCACAGTATACACATTCATATGGATTGCCGTCGATCGTTATCTGGCCGTCAAGAAACCTCTGAGGTACGATACCATTCAGACTAGAACACGATGCCAATGTTGGATGGTTTTCACTTGGATAACATCCATGTTCCTCTGTTGTCCTCCACTTCTTGGCTTCTCTAAAGGCAAGTTCTACGAGGACGGTTACATCTGTATGCTGGATCTTGGCAACACTTTACCGTACAGCATAACACTGTCGGGATTAGTTTTAATACCAAGCATATTTACAGTTATTTATACGTACGTGTATATTTTCTCCACTATGTACAAAGTGAAACAATGCTCCAACAAGGACGACAAGGATTATAACACCGTGCTCAGCGAAAACTTGTCAAATCCCGAACACTTGATGGCATTCGTTTTGATTCTGTTCTTTTGGCTCTCGTGGTTGCCGTGGTTTTCGCTTCACATCTACGAACAGATTAACGGACGAATGAAGGAAGGACATCCTCTACATTTTTGGCTTCTGTGGTTAGGAATCGCCGACTGTTTCTGGAAGCCGATCGTCTATTTTGTCATGAGTCCAAAAATGAGATTAGGTCTTAAAGTTTTTTGTATGTCCATGTGTTGCAGGTCGAAAGCAAGGCAGCAATTAGTTGTCTAAGCCAAATTTCCACGTCATGGGTGGGAACGACGTGTAAATTATCAAATTATCTTCTTTTTTTCATGTCAAATTGCGTGAAAATCAGCAACTGATCTCGCTTAATCGAATCCATTTCCTTCTTCCACGATTTCATTTATTATTTTGGCGGTGTTTCCGGTAGAAATTCATTTAGAAAACGTAATTTATGATTTCTCATTTGCCGAAGCCAGAACAAAACAATCCCTCTCGAAACTTCTAAAGTTTATTATTCGAAAAACCATAAAGGAAAACAAAAATATATATATAATAAACAAAAATGACAATCAATTTATCTGTATTACGTTCCTCAAGTGGTTAACATAAAAAAAAAATTCTTAAATTTTCGTATTGAATATCGTTGGTTAATGGAATAATTTCTGTAATTTGAGATTTGTTTCACGAAAGTAAACGTTAAAGCATGTGGTCTAACGATTTCTCCTCCACTTTTTTGTTGAAATAAACGATCAGAGATGATCCAATTTATTAAATCATTTATCATAAGAAAATCTTGGCCATGTAGCAACTCGACTTGTATCATTAATCTAAACAGGTTTTTGGTTTCTACCCACTCTAGTAAAAAAAAAAAAAAAAAACACAGGAAATCTTAATTTCTCCGTTGCTCATCACATTTATATAACATCGTACTGATACAAATCATCTTCAGTTGCTCAAAGATCTGCCTTACATCTACTTAGAATAGTCTATTTATAATTGAAGGAACATATTAAAAAAAACGAGAATTAAGTAAAGAAAATATATACATATATATATATTATCGAATTTTGATAATTTTATTAAATTTTACAAATTTACTAAAGTCGTTAGGTAGGAAGAAAAAGAAATAAACCCACCATCCTAATTAGCAGTTTAACTTATTTCCACGAAATTAATAATCGATCTTCTGAAATATATATATATATATATATGGCCACGAGATGATAATTAGGCTGTGAAAGTTGACGATGATGATGATGATGATAAATAATCAAAGATTTGGATAATTACAGCGACGTTAACTGCTCTTCGTCTTCCGCAGTCGCGATATTCAAAGTAAATCCGAGAAATGTCACTCGTGTCTTAAATTTATCCTTTATTTTTTATTTTATTTTTTCTCTTGTGATAATGTTTCCGTTTTAATTTAGAGTGTGATCATTTAAATTCGTAAATATCTATATTAAATATTTGTATAAACAGGGTAAAATCTGTGTATATGTCGTAAAATGCAGTTCGATTCAATGTCCATTCGATGTATAGCCTTAACAGTGTGATATCTTTTGCCGTATAGAACACATGCTGATTGTTAATTAGTGAACGTTGGATTCACTATAAAGGATGGTCCATCATTATCAAACTGATGATTATCAGATCAACGTTAGATAATGTATATCCCATTTGTAACAGTAAATTGTGAGTAGTAGAGTGATCATCATTAGTTTTAGAAGGGGGACAATCTTTGTAAGGAAACAGCTTTTAAGCATCTCTAAAATACACACATACAGATACACACACACAAAATTTGATTAAATCAAATTATCTTTAAAAATATCCTATAATTTTTATTACAGTTTTGAAGTAAATTTACACAGGGATAAAATAGGAAATTTTTTAAGGTCATATTTATATATATACGTATTATGATTTGAAAATCTTTAGCAATTTTTTAGCGATGATTTGAAAAAAAAAAGAAATATGGCGGGGGGAAACGAAAAAAAAACAAAAAAAAATATATTATATATAATAGCGAAAATATTTTTGTAAATTAGCGATATTTCATCTTCTTTCCAGAAATTTAGAAAGTTTTTAATAATAAATATGTACTGTATATAAATATATGAGTTTATATACAAGCAAAGGATAATTTTATTGTGCTCCAATTAATCTCTACTGCCAAATGAGAGTAGGTCCTCTTTTAGACAAGGAAGTAGCTGAAACAAATGTCAAACAGTTAAAAAAAAAATAAAAAAACATGGTTTATTCAAATTTAGGAATTTGTCGGCTACGTTTCTTGAGTTTAGTCAATCAAATTTTGAACTCTAGTTGACAATCATCGGTTATCTGAGCAAACGAAAGATGCCAGTCAATTACACCCTTTCACGAAAAGCTATAATGTTACCTGTCATTGCCAAATGGTGTCGGACGAGCTTGTAATTATTGTCATCTTCATCTTGTCTTACATATTTCCATAGTCAGAAATATGTGTTGAATAATTTGTGTCATAGTTTTGTATTTTGTGTTGTGATACGAGATTGAAAAAAATAAAATTAATGACATCAAAATACGTATCCTTCGTCTCTCCTTTATTATTATTTATTTTTTAAATCATTATTATCCTTAGTGTAACTTCGTAACCGTTTATATTGGATTATACAATGCGGATCGCATCTCTTATCTCCTTGTAAATTTAACGGAAGTGGCCGTAACAGCGAATAGGAGTAATAAATCGTAACACATTGATAATTCACGTGTCTTTCAAGTGTAACGAATGACAATAAAGAGGGGTGAAAGTAGCTCTTCGCACCTATTGTCGCCGTATGTTACGCTGCATGCTCCTTGCCATTTCCTCATTCCCTTTGACGACAGGATAGTAACAAAAATTTCAAATTCTTTTTACCTGTCAGCTAAACGATAGTGTGTGTGTATATATATATATAATATATAATATTCCTTTTTAAATAATACTCGATTTAAATAATGGCACGACAGATAAGCTGTGTGAATCACTACTTTTTAAAGTTGTCTGGCTAGTTGTGATGACGTAGCGAAAATCTTCCTTTATCGGGGTCATTTCTCGCAGGACTAAAGAGGATTTAAGGACTTTTATAACGATTTTTTTTTTGTGTGTTTTAAATCCGAGTGCGTTTATTCATCGCACCAATTACGCACGTGGAAATAACGGAAAATAATGCTTGCTGACCTTCAACAAAAGTTCAAGGTGAGTGTCCTTGATGAAAGGATTCGTGCCCACTTCCTAGTTTGCTGGAAAGAAAGTTTTCTGCTGTAAAATCTACCAGTGAAAAAACAATCCCACCCATCTCGTAGAAAAGTAGTTGAGTGGAAAGAACATTAAACTTCTTCTCGTCTGACGTCACGAATCTAGTTACATTTAATTTAAGGAACATAAACATTAGCAATCGCAATCGCTCCTTATTATTTAAATAATCTTCTACCACGAATATTTAAATTTTTAATCAATAAATGTGAGCTTACATTTAAAATAAAGGTTAGGAAATGTCGGTTTCGAATATCCCTTTTTAATATAATTTTGTGTGACGTAACTCGTTATAATTTATATAGAATACAATAGAGAGAGAGAGAGAGAGAGAGAGGGTATGAACCTTAGCCTCCCCCCAATAGATATAAGTTATGATATAAGTGGTTAAGCACAATTGATAGGGCTATCATTCTTCTCTTAAACTACTATGGGATATCATTTCACAAAGGAATATCTAATAGTTTAATGAATGAGAAAGAAATCCTTCCTCTTCTCCATCAATTATTCGACAAAATTGTAGTATTGTCTGGATCTAAATGAATAATTTTGGCTCACGATCCATACTCTGGAGCCAAAATCCCATACCGGACTTTACTAATTAAATTTTGAAATTTGTATTCCTCTTAAGCTTGATATTCTTATTGGTAATCGATTCTTACTGGTAATAGATTAGTCTTGTTGGTAATCGATTATTGTTGTTGGATATCGATTATTCTTATTGTTAATCGATTCTTATTAGTAATCGATAACCAATCAAGCGTACGGTTGGATTGATAAAGGGGGGGTTAGGCAATTTAGAAGTTCATTGATCCAACAGGATATCATCTGTTCAGATAAAAATCTACATATTGTAAATATGCTCACGAGGAATTAGAAAGAAACGTGACAGAAAAATTTCCATCATTGTTTGAAAGAGATGGAAAAACTTCAACAAATGATACGAGAATTAATGGGTGAAGGGATTTAAAAATAAAAGTAAAATAATACGGGCGAATTTAAAAGAAGAAGGACACGATAAAATATACGACCGGAAGAGAAATTAATAAAATCAACCATCGACGTCACGAATGACAAAGGTAATGCGAAAACTGTTGTGAGCACGTGACCAAGCAGGGGGATCTGTTCGGCTTCAGTGACAATGCGTGAAGGTCGGTATGTTTGTGCATGGCATCTCTCTCTATATATATAATGTATAAAGATGGGACCTTGTCATTCAAGTTGGTCATGTCTTTAGTGAATGTCCTCATCTCGTGAGTGCAAGGTAAGAAGCACCTAATACAGATTACAGGTGAGTACAAGTTACTACTAAATACCTTAGAGAGGATCGAAATTAATTTCCTTTTCTTATTTTTTTTTTTTTTTTGAGGGGTGGATACAATTTTTAATATTAAGAAAATTGATTTATTTTCTACCAAATGTTTGCAAAGGAATCTCATAATTCGTTGAAATTTCATCCGACTAATGGAAAAAATGATATAAAAATCAGTCAGAAAGTCTGGAAATGGAGAATTTTGTTACTTGTTTAATCTGAAATGGCAAAAATTTCTACCTCGGAAATCACTTCGTAGGGGTAAAAACGGGGGGAAAATACTTATATAAATGAAATTCTCTTCCTCTATTGCTACTTTTCTTTACTTTTTAATAAGGGAAAGTAAGTTTTTAAGTAGTGTTAAGCATATTTTATGACGTAAAATGTCACTCGCTCTCCTTCCTATAAATCACTTCTTAACAAAGCAATTAAATCTCTTAATGTTAATTTGTTTTTAATGGCATTTAATAATACCCGCTCGGTTCATTGTTTGTAAATTACGTAATTATTAACGAAGTTAATGATGTTAGATAAAACAGATTTTTAAAATAATGAGTGTAAAAATTAGATCATTTCCTTTATCGCGCATTATCTACGGTTCTACAGGAGTGGAGCCATTTGTAGGAAGTAATAATTAGTTATTAATATTTTTATACAGGGACTAGGAAGGTATTCGAAGTGGGCATCGTTGTTTCTTAGCGAATATCTAGAAATATTCTTATTAAATCAATTAATTACGTCAGTAGTAGTATTGCGCTCGAACCCGTTCGTTTATCGAGTTCCTAGTAAATAGTACTTTTACCGTTTGGTAAGTAACTGTTAGTTTTGTCTACACATACGTCACGCTCTAGCAGACTTGGAGGTCACGCTGTCATGCTTGACGAATCGACGTCTCCTTCCCAGATTTTCGCCATCTTGGATCATGACCTCAATGGGACAATGGCCTTCATCCTTCGACTTTCTCTTCCTTGTATGATAAATAACTACGTGAGATGAATTATTATTTAAATAATACCATCGAAAATTGTTAAATTTTCTACTTTAAACTCAATAATCGGTAAAATGCAAACTCACACCCTATAATTAGAATCCATTTGATTTTTTTTTTTTTTTTTACAAATTTCCGGTAGCTAAATATACTTTATTTATTTATTTTTCCCATAGATAATTATGGAAACCACACTAGCATCGGTGGTTAATATTTTATATCTGACTGCACGATTTGCAAACGGTAAGGATATATATACATATATTTAAATTGGTAATTAGTAATTCTCGAGATGAAATACTTAGAAGTGAAATGTTTGGTACAGGACTTCTGACATTCGAGAAATTGACCAATCAAGATTACCCTTCGACGACGTACTTCACGACCAGGAACGTGTCATTATATGAATGTCAAGGTTGGTGTCGAGATGATAGCAACTGTGTAGCCACGTCTTTCAGTTTCGTCGTCAACCCTTTAACGCCCATACAAGAAACCAGTTGCTTCCTCCACAACGAAACCAAGGCAAAGAAACCTTCCATTTCTCCCCAATTAACGGTCAATACTTATTACCTGACGAAAATTAATTTGAGATCGGGTAAGTTTTAATCTCTTAAGTAACTAAATAAAGGATTTAATTAGATATAATCCAGTTATTTAGATGATAAACCATCCGAGCGTGTGTGAATGAAGAAGGGATTTGGATAATCCCAAATTTTCCCATATCTAGATGAAACGATAAGACGTATCGTTTCATCTTTATTTCCGTAATGGGCCATTCTATAGAAAAATCCCTGTAATTTTCTTCAATTCACCAATAATTGGAATTAATAAAGCTTTAAATGCAGTTGAACTTCCAACAACGGGAATCATTTTTTTCCCTTCTTCTTTTGGACAAAAATGCATATAAAATAACTCCCAAACAACGGCCATATTCTCTCCCATGTCCGTTGTTCACAGGTTCGACTATATTATCGAATACTACTACTGTATTTAATAGTACCCATTGGTATGAAAATTAGAACCAAAGGGTCAATCATCTAAATGAATGGTCTATAGTTTTACTTTAGAATATTCCTAACAAAGATTCATTTCTCTTATAGAAAACTTGTGTAGTCGTCTCTGGTCGTTCGAAAGAATTCCAAATAAATACATTCGAGGATTCGACAATGCAATTATCTTCACCTCAAACAAGGATGCTTGTCTTTCAGCATGCTTAAACGAAGTTCGCTTTAATTGCCGTTCGGTCGAATTCAATTATGTGACGTTAGAGTGCCGAATTAGTGACGTCGACAGAAGATCTTCCTACGAAAACATCAAGCTGTCAGACGCTCAAGGGGTTGACTATTTCGAAAACAACTGCTTACAACGTAATGCCTCATTTTTTTTATACGTTATTACTGTAATTAATGCATTGTTTCCTAAATAATTCTACTGATAATAACACTTTCATCGTGCGGAAATTATGGATGATAAATGAAAACTGTCAAAACTGCCAGGTCAATATTGTAGCCCTTTCAGGAAATTACAATAATGACACGACGACAGAATAACTCTCGTTATTTTAAGTACGTGTATTAAATTCAATTTATTTTATTTTTTTTAGCCGATAAAATTTGCTCGAGACCCACAGTTTATTCGTACGCCAAGGTTGGATTACCACAAGCCACAATTACCCATTACGTTAATCTCAATTATTACTTAGATAAACAGATTCTGGTAGGTAAAATCTATTGAACAATTGGTGTAAATTATTGTCTAACGCGACTCTACGGGTAATTCTTCTTCCGTAACTTAAATCTCTCAGGTGTCGAACAGACAAGAATGCCAACACCAATGCACACAAGAAAAGGAATTCCTGTGTAGATCGGTGCTATTCATCACGGATCCAAGACCCGGAAAATCTGTCTGCAAACTCTACCACGTCGACCACACAATGCTGCCACAGGGAGCAGAGACATATATCGTTTCGAATCCTCTGCCACTGTTAGATAGTGGCGAGAGTTCTGGTACTTACATGGAAAGACAGTGTAGTAGTGAGTATATTTTTAAAGATATTCCAGTGAAAATGTCATTATTTTATAGGCATTAATCGTATTCTTTCATGGAATTATCGTGTAAATCCGTCAACCGAAGCAATTTATTTTTATTTTATTTTATTTATTTATTTTTCCTCCTTCGCAAAGTTTATACAATTAAAAGTTTGTTTCTTCGGTTCGCTTCCAAAGATTTCTAATTTTGGCGTCGGATAGACAGACGCCCGAAATATCGACCCGAAATAACAGCGACGATAAATTATTTGTGACGTAAGAGCAGATTCCGATAAGTCTGATGTCACTTTTTTTATTTATTTTTGGTTTAATTTTCGAAGACGTCGCCCGTGTTTTTACCATTATCAAATTAGGGAAGTGAATTTGTGACGTCACTTTCGAAAAAAATTGTCGACCTATAGAAAGTGCTTTTATTTATTTGTGTTATTTGATTTTATTTCGCAGATAGCTCACAGACGGGCCATCCTATACTGAACATAGCGACTGGGGTGGTTCAACAGACTACACCCGCTCCATTGTTGAGCGCGTCAGAAAAAAAGGACCCCTCCTGCGATGCCTTTGGCGTATGTTACGATGGTTAGAATTTTACGTTGATGATTTTTTTTCGTTAAGTTTTAAACACTGAACGTAGCGAAATATCCACTTAGGCTATTGTTTACCTGTTATTGATGTTATTCTTAATGCAAATTATTGTGTTTTCCAGTGTCTATACAATGCACAGACACTAAAATCATCGTTTATGTCCGTACCAATCGGCCTTTTCACGGAAGAATATATGCTCTAGGTAGAAGCGAAACTTGTCACGCCAACATTTTAAACAGTCAACAATTCAGACTGGACCTCACCCTCAGTGGTCAAGAATGCAACACCCAATCTCTGGTCGGTATCTAATTGTTTACACGTTTATTATTCTCCATTCTTTCTAAATTCATTAATATTTTTAAAATATATACTTTAGGGAGGAGTATATTCTAATACTGTGGTCTTGCAACACCACAACGTAGTGTTAACGAGAGCAGATAAAGTATACAACGTGCGATGTACCTACGAAATCGCCTCGAGGAATGTCTCCTTTGGCATGCTTCCTATACGGTAATTTTTAATTAATTTTTTAATAAATGGTCCACCATAAATTTAAATTTATTGTTAAAATCAATTAATTTAGCGATCCCGACACCCTCCAAATTACTTCGTCACCCGAAGCACCCCTTCCGAAGATATTTATATTGGGTGCAGACGGAAGAGAAGCTACCACCGTTCGTATAGGAGACAAATTAACATTCCGTATCGAAATACCAGAAACTAGTATGAACCCTTAATAATCAGTGTTAATTGTAATTAATTAACCTTATTAATTGTGATTATTCTTTTATTCGTTAGCTCCTTACGGGATATTCGCACGCAGTTGCGTGGCAATGGCTAAAGATGCAAGGAGCACCTTCGAAGTTATCGATGATCGAGGGTAGGTTAGTAAATATCTAAAATGGAGGCTCGACTGTTGATTGGTTGCATGTAAAATTATAGTTTAAAAAGAAAAAGAAAAATGGAGGTTCCTTTCGTGTGAGAGCGTATTTTATTGTTACAGATGTCCCGTGGATCCGCTGATATTCCCAAGATTTATGCAAATAGGAAACGCTCTGGAAAGCAGCTACGAAGCATTTCGATTCACGGAATCGTACGGGGTGATATTTCAATGTAACGTCAAATATTGCATTGGAAATTGCGAACCAGTAAGTCTGTCTGTCAGTTGTTTTGTATTTTGACACATAAAAAAAGGGATGAATTTAAAATAGCTTTAATAATTCTTGAAAATTAGAAAATGTCCTTTCTACTTTTAGTTTGCAATTGCTAACCAGTAAGTCTGTATGTTTGTTGTTCTGTACTTTTAACATGTATATAGGCATATATATATAAAGGAAATTTAAAATAGCTTTAAAAATTTGCCTACTTTTATAATTTACGTGTCTGTCATTGATTTCTACTTAATCAATGTCAGAAACTAATAAGAGAAGGTAATATTTTAAGAATAGAATCCGAAATTATTTTTGTTTTTCCGCAGACTTCTATTTATTTTTATATACTCAGCATTTTATAATAGTCCCGTTGATGTAATAAATTTTAGAGGGTTATTTAAAATTCATAATGTAACATATTCCGCCAGTTTTATTACTTTGACTCTTATTCTTTCTGACTTTCTGAAGTTATTAAAATTGCAAAGTAAAAAGTTTTCATTTTTTCCTCTACTCTTTGCAATTTCAAAATTTTATCCTTCGTCTTTTTATTTTTATTATTCTCTTTTTTTTTGTTTTTTTTTTTGCTGTAGAAATGTAGTTCTATAATGAGAACTGATCACATGTTTTATATAAATATTTAATATTAAAAAAAATTAGATATAAATAATTTATTATTTTTTTTTATTTTTGACTCTCCGCCCTTTGACCTCTAAGAGATCCTTTTTTATCAGGCCCCTCAGGTCCGAGACCGTCGAGAAGGGAAATTTTTCTGGACTCTGGAAAAATCTGGAGATCCTGGGGATTTTTCTCGGTTCAGGAGTAGTGGAACGTTAAAAAAAAAAGGGTAATTGCCTGGGGCCTCCACCAAAGGGAGCCCAAAACCGATCTTTCATAAGAAAATATTTTCCCAAAAAAATCCCCGAAGTCAACACTGCACGTGAGGCTCCCTAATTCTAATTTTCCCGAGTCCCACGAAACAATAACGCCCCAAAAAAGAGAAAGTTTTTGGNAAAATTTTTACAGTAAAACTTGTCCAAAAACGGACACCTGCCTAAACGGAAAAATTCTTAAGAATGAAGCGATTTTCCATGTTTTAAAAAAACCTATTCGAAACGGAAACCTGCCAAACTGGAATATTCGGTACCCGGTTTACACAGGTTTCACTGTCCGCTATATACAGGTTTTCCAGAAATAAATCCAGAACATAACAATTAAAGGTGTAATTAATTTATACCAAAGAACTTTTCTATAATAGCAATTAAAAGTAATGGCTCATCGAACAGAAAATGGCTCATATCTGTGGAACACCATTATGTTTATGGTGTTTAATTGGCTATGGTTATTTATTAATGGTAATAAAGATTAATTAATCATTATCACAGTTTTCAATAAAAATAAATGATACTCAGCTTTCAATGCGATCATCACAAATAAATTTTGTTCTACCTCTTAAAATTAATTATCGAGTTATGGAAAATACTTTTGTAAATATTATATTTAATTATTTAATTAAAAGTATGGTACTATGTGTTTTATTTATATAAAGTGGTATCAATATAGAGATAAAAGACGTGTTCTTGATTATTCTGTTGGTGCTATTACATCATTCTGTATAATTTATATTATTTATATGTTTCTGTTATATGAAATAAACGTGTGACGTATTTTTATAAAATATGGAAATTTACATTTGCCTCATTAATTTCCTTACAGAAATTCAAACGTTGATGTATTTCCTAATTAAAAAATCCAGCGAGTTGCATAACTTTTCAAGCAAAATTTAAAATTGTAGTGGTGCCATCTATTGTCATATTTTATTAAAAAACTTTTTTTAAAATTTTTAACTATTATAAAATGACAAAACGCTTAATTTTGAGGGTAGGAGCGAATTTTATTTAAAATTGTAAATGCTAATAACGAGTAAATCGTCATTAAGTCCGACCCCACTCGAGAAAGAACGTTTGACCCCTCTCTATCTCCTCATCTCCTCGACCTTTAACCACCAAAATTTTATAATATCGACCCCTCTAATACATAAATCTCCCCACAAAATTTCAGAAATTTTCGACAAAGGGCACATTAAGCTTTAAAGTAGGGAGTGAAATCCTGCCCTCCCACACAGAAAAAAACCTCGATTTATTCTTGTATTTCTCGATGTTGCAAGGCCCCACGAGTCAAAAAATGTAAAAATTTGGAGTGAGCATTTTTTGACCAATCGCCAAACTTTCCCTCTGTTACCTGTAACAGAGGGACATAAATATAATGCTTATTAATCTCTGTACCTGTACTTATTAAGTTGTATTAATAAATTCTTCAATTTTTTACAGCATAATCTAGCAATTATTTCCCAGTCATTAAGCTAAGCTACAATACACCCTTAACAATAACAATTCTTTTTTCTATAATTTTATTATAGTTAATAGCACCACTTGTCACACATTTATTTATATCATGCAAATACAAAGACTGGGTCTGTATTTACTACGTCACACAAGAGCTTAACAGAGAAAGGAGCGTAAAATACTCCGCAGTTCAGTTTTAATGTCTGAATTTTACAAAAGTCCAGTAAGTTGCCTAACTTTCTCGGAAGAAAAAAAAAGGTAAAATGTAGTGACGCCATCTGTTAAGAATTTTAATTACAATTTTTTCAATTATTATAGAATTAATAATCGTATATAATCATTTAAATTTATTTGGGTATTTTAAAGATAAAAAATGATTAAATAATTTCGTTTTTTACTGACAGACAAGTGAGTGAAAATTAATTTGTCTGTACGTTTCTTTCGCTATACACTGACTAATTGTAATCAGAAAGGAAATAAATAAATATTTCGTTAATTCTTTATTAAACTTTTCGCATACAAAAAAAAAAAAAGTTAAAACTGTGTGTGGCGCCATCTGTTACGAGATTTTGTTTTAAAAACTTTTATATTATGAATTATTATAAAACGGCATTAATTTTGAGGGTATAGACGAGTTTTATAAACAGGAGATGCGACCATAGTTTAGAAAAAACAGAATCGTGGGGTCGTAAAAAAAGATCCAGCGAAAACGAATTAACTCTGAGCCACGAAATTCTGGTTCTCGATTTTGGTGACGAGTTCGCACGTTCCATGAAAAATACCCAGCATTCCACAAATGGTAACGTGTGTATTTATATATTTTATAATTATAAAATTGTAACACCACTTTAATTCTTTCCCTTCCCCTCTTTTTTTTTCTATTGGCAGATTCCTTCAACGTGTTCGAATCTGTGGAATTTTTAGAAACGTGCGCTTCCAAGACCTCAATCATGGCCCTAAGTCTAACAACTGCTCTATTGTTAGTTGTGTATATATGCACGGTTGCCTACTTTGTTGCCCATAGACGAGCCCATAAAGAATTCTCTTAACATCATTTAATATAATATAAATTCGGAAATTGATTCGTCAATTATAACCTGTCAACACGACCGGTTTTTATTATTATTATTTTTTTTAATTTAGAATATATTTTTCTAAAATTTTTACAGTAAAACTTGTCCAAAAACGGACACCTGCCTAAACGGAAAAATTCTTAAGAATGAAGCGATTTTCCATGTTTTAAAAAAACCTATTCGAAACGGAAACCTGCCAAACTGGAATATTCGGTACCCGGTTTACACAGGTTTCACTGTCCGCTATATACAGGTTTTCCAGAAATAGATCCAGAACATAACAATTAAAGGTGTAATTAATTTATACCAAAGAACTTTTCTATAATAGCAATTAAAAGTAATGGCTCATCGAACAGAAAATGGCTCATATCTGTGGAACACCATTATGTTTATGGTGTTTAATTGGCTATGGTTATTTATTAATGGTAATAAAGATTAATTAATCATTATCACAGTTTTCAATAAAAATAAATGATACTCAGCTTTCAATGCGATCATCACAAATAAATTTTGTTCTACCTCTTAAAATTAATTATCGAGTTATGGAAAATACTTTTGTAAATATTATATTTAATTAAAAGTATGGTACTATGTGTTTTATTTATATAAAGTGGTATCAATATAGAGATAAAAGACGTGTTCTTGATTATTCTGTTGGTGCTATTACATCATTCTGTATAATTTATATTATTTATATGTTTCTGTTATATGAAATAAACGTGTGACGTATTTTTATAAAATATGGAAATTTACATTTGCCTCATTAATTTCCTTACAGAAATTCAAACGTTGATGTATTTCCTAATTAAAAAATCCAGCGAGTTGCATAACTTTTCAAGCAAAATTTAAAATTGTAGTGGTGCCATCTATTGTCATATTTTATTAAAAAACTTTTTTTAAAATTTTTAACTATTATAAAATGACAAAACGCTTAATTTTGAGGGTAGGAGCGAATTTTATTTAAAATTGTAAATGCTAATAACGAATAATATCTTCATCAAGTCCGATTCTTCTCGAGATATATGATATATGATGCTCTTTACCTCCTCATCTCCTCGACCTTTAACCACCAAAATTTTATAATATCGACCCCTCTAATACATAAATCTCCCCACAAAATTTCAGAAATTTTCGACAAAGGGCACATTAAGCTTTAAAGTAGGGAGTGAAATCCTGCCCTCCCACACAGAAAAAAACCTCGATTTATTCTTGTATTTCTCGATGTTGCAAGGCCCCACGAGTCAAAAAATGTAAAAATTTGGAGTGAGCATTTTTTGACCAATCGCCAAACTTTCCCTCTGTTACCTGTAACAGAGGGACATAAATATAATGCTTATTAATCTCTGTACCTGTACTTATTAAGTTGTATTAATAAATTCTTCAATTTTTTACAGCATAATCTAGCAATTATTTCCCAGTCATTAAGCTAAGCTACAATACACCCTTAACAATAACAATTCTTTTTTCTATAATTTTATTATAGTTAATAGCACCACTTGTCACACATTTATTTATATCATGCAAATACAAAGACTGGGTCTGTATTTACTACGTCACACAAGAGCTTAACAGAGAAAGGAGCGTAAAATACTCCGCAGTTCAGTTTTAATGTCTGAATTTTACAAAAGTCCAGTAAGTTGCCTAACTTTCTCGGAAGAAAAAAAAAGGTAAAATGTAGTGACGCCATCTGTTAAGAATTTTAATTACAATTTTTTCAATTATTATAGAATTAATAATCGTATATAATCATTTAAATTTATTTGGGTATTTTAAAGATAAAAAATGATTAAATAATTTCGTTTTTTACTGACAGACAAGTGAGTGAAAATTAATTTGTCTGTACGTTTCTTTCGCTATACACTGACTAATTGTAATCAGAAAGGAAATAAATAAATATTTCGTTAATTCTTTATTAAACTTTTCGCATACAAAAAAAAAAAAAGTTAAAACTGTGTGTGGCGCCATCTGTTACGAGATTTTGTTTTAAAAACTTTTATATTATGAATTATTATAAAACGGCATTAATTTTGAGGGTATAGACGAGTTTTATAAACAATTCTATATGTTAATAATGAATAAAATCTTCATTAAGTCCAATCTAGAAATGCGGCACGTGACCTCCTATAACTCTCCAACCCCTCGACCTTTAATCTCCAAAATTAAATAGTATCAATCCCCTTAATACACAAACCTTCTCGCAAAATTTCAGAAATTTTCGACAAAGGGCACGGGAGATATTAATCTTCAAAGTGGGTGGAAAAAATCGTTCCCCAAACACACAAACACTTAACATATATACAGAAAAATCCCAAAATCTTGGGGGTCATTTATATGAATGAAAAGACGAAACTAAATAAGAGTAACGAGCGTGACGTTAGTTTCATTGATGTTACCGTAAAATAAAAAAAAAAAAACAAAGAATAGAGCGTTTCAATGGTAAATTAATTGCGGTAACTTATTTAAACAAGACAATAAGATTATTCTCCGAAGTGTTCTGACGTCACAGAGTGTATTTATCCCAGGCTGAACTTTGATTACTATGTACTTAATAGTTTCTAACGTTTCATCTAATCAATATTAAACGCGTTTATTTAAAGATTTACAAACTTGAAGACGGACACGATGGCTCTGAGGAGTGGACCAATCTGCTCCAAGAGCATGTGAACCACTTGGTGACATATTCGAGGTGGACTTTAGCGTCAGTGTATAATTCTCTTCTTCTCTTATCGATAGAGATTCCACAATGGCTAACACAATTGTCAATATTTGTTTCAAATCAATATTAATCCTGCGCTAAAAAGTAAATATCTTCAATGGATTTCGCTTTTGCAAATTTTCATTAAACTCACTTCGTACTTAGTTAATCGTTACTTGCACTTAGTTCGCCATTAAGATAAAAAAAATCCAGCAGTGAGTTGCGTAACTTTTCCGGTAAGATTTAAAAATTGTGTGTGGCGCCATATGTTACGATTATTAATTATAAAGCGGCAATAAGCTTAATTTTGAGGTTAGAGAGGAGTAAGATCTTCCTTAAGTGAGGCAAAGAAAATGAATTTTGTCACCGATTTGTCGAATAAATTTACGGTAAAACCTGCCCAAAACGGAATCCGAATAAGACGGAGAAATCCGCCTAAACGGGGAAAAATTCTTCGGTACCCGTATGATTCCGGTTTACACAGGTTTGACCCAAATATTCCACGAATACGAGAAAACCAAGAGCACGTTTATGAAACACAGTGGAACCTGTGTTTCATAAACGTATTCGGGTTCTGCTTTGGAACCCGAATACAGGCTTCTTTGTAAGAATATTTTTCCCGTTTAAGCAGGTTTCCGTGTTATTCGGGTTCCATTTTGGGCGTGTTTTAGTGATAAATTTAGCAGTCATTTATTTTATTTTTTATTAAAACAAATTTAGACAATGGTCAATAATTATAACTCTTGGCTTATCTACAATTACGTTAGCCTTATAAACAGTATCATCGAAACAATGAATATCGTTTGGGCATTCTCCCTTCTTTGTGGACCAAACCTGCTTCTATGTCCTCCACTGCTGGCAATCCTTTGACGTCACCCAGGCAGGCAACAGCGGCTCTGCTCTTCAACAAACGAAGAGCTATTCTGTGAATGTCGTCCTCGTTCACCTTACCTGCAAAAAAATTCAAAATTTCATCATCGTCGTCCCGTAATTTAAATAAAATACGATAAAACCTCCGAAAGCTGGAACCGCACGGCACCGAATACGGTAAAACCTGTCCGAAACGAAATCCACCTAAACGAGGGGGGAAAATGTAGCGATTTTCTATGTCGAAAAAACTTGTTCAAAACGGAAAAATTCGCTTCCGGTTTACACAGGTTTGACTATTTTTTCCTGTTTGGCAAGCTTCCATTTTAAACTATTTTTCCCGTTTTTCTAATGTAGAAAATCGTTCCGTTCGTACAAATTTTTCCGTCTAGGAAGGTGTCCGTTTCGAACGGGTTTTTTATTACAGTAACAATGTAGACGTATTACCTATTTCTTCGATGTAATATTCTGGCGACTGATGCTTTCCAGTTGTTAAAACCTGTCTACCGATGTCCTCAAAAACAATGGGCCTGGACTCCAAGTTCATCAGTAACATGGACTGAAGCTGTGTTTTGGCTCTGCTTAACTCAGACTGAAAATTTCGAAATTGTAAAACTTAGTAAACGAAATACTTTAAGAGTTGAAGGGTTTTAAAACATATATAAGAAAATAATAAATTATATATTCTTTCAGATATGGCAGGATTATTTTGAGGAGACAATCCACCTTCCATTGTCACCTAACAGGCTGTTTAAGTTAATTGTGGAAGGTTTCAGAAACCAAATCTGCAACCAATTAGAAGCTCAGTCTTATTTCTAATTAGAAAACCGAATATTTTAATATTTTGCATTAAACACAGCATTTTTAAGTCTAAGAAACTCTGAAAGTTACCCTTTAAACAGCATTCTCTGCCATGTAATTTTTTTTTTTTTTGACAGATTTATATGTAATGAATTTTTGGCTTCCTTATAGAGGTTTTTTAAAGCTTAGAAAACAAGTAAGAGGAAATAAAAATCTGCTATAAATTTCATCAATTCACTTAGGTGAAAATTTTATTGATATTATTACATAAAATTATGTTTTATTATTAGTAATAAAAGGCACTCCACAACAGATATAACATCAGTTATTTGAATTTTCCAGATGACTGCTGTTTCAAAATTAATCAAGTGCTTCAGAAGACTGACAGATATCTCAAGTGAAGTCTCCAAAACTACACACTTGACCAAATAGAGATGTCAACACTGTATTTCAACACACACTGTGTATGTTGAAATACAATGCTGTCATCTCTACTGCAAAACAAAAAAATATATGAAGATAATGATGTGTATTGCAATTTCATTGAAGGAACTCTACACTGCCTTTCTTAATCAATTTTTATCATCTTTCATGGAAAATTAACCCTATAGGTGGTTACACATTCTGGCCCAGTAAAAACATCATCATGTTATGCAAAAACAGTAGACAAGTTTCCCAATAATAAAAATATCCCTTACATGAGCTACAGAGACAACTCTGATAACCTCCAACAAGCTTACCTAATAGACTTTTTAATAGCTAGACCAATTAATGTATACCAAAAGCAGCAAGCACAGCCAGATGATTGTGAAAGTCTGAAGAAAATCAAAAAAGTATGCAAAAGAAGAGCCATTTGCTTTAAAAACTATTAGACTAAATCTATGTAATATAATCTAATAAATGTGAAACTGGTATTACTTTCTATCATATTCCTCTCACTCTTTTTCTATTAACAGCAATACATTGCCTGGATTTTTGTGCATCAACCATTATAACTTAAGTGCAGAGCAAATTAAAATATTATGATGATTTTCAGCAAATTTTAACATTGGATTCTTCATTCAAATTTTTTTAAATTGAAACTTTTTAATTTGTAAAGTACAGAGAAAGCAAACAAGTAAATTTTCTGAATTTCAAATTGTGAATAGCAAATATTTAATAATCTGTTTTGTAGTTCAATAATTACAATGTTTAGAAGTTTCTTTCTTTCATTACGGAAAAATGTTTCATGTTCTATTTCCAATTTCTTAGAAATGTTTATCACATTATCTATTAAAGCTTCTGCAAAACCAAAGTTTTGAAAGAATTTTGTGGAGTTTAGACAAACAATTCAGAATTTATGACAAGAAATGCCCTTCTGTAATTAATAAATTACAGAATACATTCAATAAATTAGTGTTGAACATTTTGTTTCATACAAAATCATTGTGGCATTGTATATTTAAATTGTTAAAATTGATATTGAAGTTATTATTAATATATAATTTTTTATTTCAAGAAAGAAACAAAGAAAGTAAATTTTTCTAATTTTAATATAATTATTCAAATATAAAACAATCTTCTATTCAGTATTTTTTATATTGTTATAAAAAAACACTTATGAGCTTTAAACATTTTCATTTTCTTCTATATGTGAAATTAAGTGAATATTACCTTCAGAGCCTTACATTTTTGTAAAAACATAAGGTTATCTTGCATTTCTAGACATTTTAGTACAGCACAGAAGCTGAAGAATAGCAAGACTGAGACTTTTCCTCAGCATACAAATGCTTAATATTTTTATTTAACCTGTGGTAAAAGTTACTTATCATGTTGAGTGAGGTTTTAGACGATCCCAATTTAAATAGTTAAATTGTGGTACTTTTTCTATCAAATATTTATGTAAGGCTTTAGGGAAATGTTCTTGGTGAAACAATATTTTGCTTTGGAAATGAAAGAATTTTTAAGAATGAATTTAATCAAAATTTTTGAAAGTTGTATATTTAATGAATTAGAAAATGATGTTAATGTTTAATTTAATGCAAATTAAACATCATCATATTTTTCAGTGTTCACTCATGCTTTCTTCTTCTTGTGCTTGCCCTTTCTGAATAATGCAGTATGAACACAGATCTTATTCTGCAATCAATGGGCACCCTTAGAAAATTTTCCATGGGGGCAAAGTTTGGAGACAAATAAATAATAAAAAGACATTAATTTTTAATTAATTATTTAATATTTTGGGGTATTTTTGCATAAGTATATTATAGAATACAGTCATGTTTGAAGGTGTAAGGTTACATATCTCAATCACTTTTAAGATTATAATTTGTGGAATTTTTTACTTGATTTCAAGAGGGCAAATGTCCTGTTTGTCCTCCTTTACACATGCCTTCTAGGAACAATAATGTTTGTTTANTATTTTTGACTCTCCGCCCTTTGACCTCTAAGAGATCCTTTTTTATCAGGCCCCTCAGGTCCGAGACCGTCGAGAAGGGAAATTTTTCTGGACTCTGGAAAAATCTGGAGATCCTGGGGATTTTTCTCGGTTCAGGAGTAGTGGAACGTTAAAAAAAAAAAAAGGGTAATTGCCTGGGGCCTCCACCAAAGGGAGCCCAAAACCGATCTTTCATAAGAAAATATTTTCCCAAAAAAATCCCCGAAGTCAACACTGCACGTGAGGCTCCCTAATTCTAATTTTCCCGAGTCCCACGAAACAATAACGCCCCAAAAAACAGAAAGTTTTTGGGGGGCCCGTAACGGTTACAACTCCTGTAAATCAACAATATTTTTACTAACAAACTTATGTTTGTTAGTAAAAATTTCTATAAATTCTTTTTGTTAGTAAAGAAACAACCTACGTACACTGTATTTCATTGTTATAATAAAAAACTGCCCGCTCTATAACAGCGCTCGAAGATTTTAGGGGGCCCGACTCCCCATGAAAAAGTTCCTCCGGGATTCGATCAGGCCGGTATTCCGATTATCCGGGAGGCAGTAATTTACGTAAAGATTCTATTGTATTATCCTGCTTAGCTGCAATTAGTTCTTATCTTATCGAGCTCCCTGCTAAAATATGATATCGTCCATTAGCCCGTGAAGACGGATAAAAAACACAAAAAAAAAAAAAAAGGAATTCTAACGAGATAATTACTTAAATGCGATATAAGGAATGTAAATTCGAAAACGTTTAAATGAATTAATGTTTCGACCAAGACATCATCACATAAATTTGCCAATTTAATAATTCTGCAATCTTTTTCCTTAATGATAATGCGGCCATTTTCTAGATTTTCTCTCGTTAATTTATCATCAAGCTTCGCTGACGAAAATAATATAAAATAAAATTTCAATTATATTATTTTTACCGGTGTTTAACTACACTTTATCTGTTTATAATTCGCTTTGGGAAAATTATATTTACACAGGTTCCATTACAGAATTTTAACACATACAAAAAAAAAAAATTTTAATTTCTAAATAATTAAATTTAAGAAATTCAGAAGCGAGTTGCGTAACTTTCCCGACAAAACAGTTAAAATTCTGCGTGGTGTCATCTGTTGAGGTTTTTTTAAAAATAAATTTTTAGATTAATAATTATTATAAAATGGCAGAAAGCTTAATTTTGAGGGTAGAGGTGTTTTTATAGAAGGTAATAACGAGTAAAATCTTCATTAATTCCGATCCCATCTATCTCCCTACCACGTCGACCTTTAACCTCCAAAATTTAACAGTATCGATCTCCCTAACACACAAACCTTCCTGCAAAATTTCAGAAATTTTCGACAAAAAGCACAGGAGTTATTAAGCTTTAAAGTGGGTGAATAAAATCCTGCTCCCCCCCAAAACACACACTAATACCCCTACAGACAGAAAAACCCCCAAATTTTTTTTTGCATTTCTCGATGTTGCAAGACCTCCCGAGTCCAAAACTGTAAAATAATCTTGGGGATTCATTATTTTATTTTTTTTTTTGACAGATGGCCCTCTGTTATATATGACAACCAGGAAAGTAAAAATAATGCCAAAAAAAAATTAAATCATTAATTGCCTAATGATAATTATGACAGTTTAATTAAATTTCCAGCTGAAGAAATATTGATGAAGGAGGAATTTAATTGATGAATTTAAATATAGTTTGAGATTTGAAGTTTTATTGATCCCAAAATAAACACCGAAGATACAACAGCCACGAAGAATTTTAATAAGAATTTAAATTAAAAACCTACCGCTCTGGAGATCCGGGTTTGAATCCTGGTGGTCAAAAAAGAAAAAGAAATCGAGAATTTTTCCGGACCCATTCATTGTGGGTTCTACCTATAATGACCCACAATGGAGAGCTTGATCCAACCTATAATGGGCCTCGTCAGTGCACGCGGGGTGAATTATTGTATATGTCCTTCTATGATAAAGTGGTCCATATTTAGGTGTTTCAAACGTGAAGAAAGCCCGGTAAACTCGACGTGACCAGCCTATTTGCAGATGCGAACCCACGACCAGCATCAGTGGTTTCATTCATCTGCCACTGCCCATTTTTTTCTTTCCTATATTACAATGTGACAATTAAAATTAATTGTTACAGAATCAATGCCATTATTGTTTCCATAGTATAATAATTAAATAAAAATAACCGTAATTGTTAGTTTTTTTTTTTAACAATAAGATAATTAATTTAGGTGTATTTTTAAGGTGAGATGCGACCATAGTTTAGAAAAAACAGAATCGTGGGGTCGTAAAAAAAGATCCAGCGAAAACGAATTAACTCTGAGCCACGAAATTCTAGTTCTCGATTTTGGTGACGAGTTCGCACGTTCCATGAAAAATACCCAGCATTCCACAAATGGTAACGTGTGTATTTATATATTTTATAATTATAAAATTGTAACACCACTTTAATTCTTTCCCTTCCCCTCTTTTTTTTTCTATTGGCAGATTCCTTCAACGTGTTCGAATCTGTGGAATTTTTAGAAACGTGCGCTTCCAAGACCTCAATCATGGCCCTAAGTCTAACAACTGCTCTATTGTTAGTTGTGTATATATGCACGGTTGCCTACTTTGTTGCCCATAGACGAGCCCATAAAGAATTCTCTTAACATCATTTAATATAATATAAATTCGGAAATTGATTCGTCAATTATAACCTGTCAACACGACCGGTTTTTATTATTATTATTTTTTTTAATTTAGAATATATTTTTCTAAAATTTTTACAGTAAAACTTGTCCAAAAACGGACACCTGCCTAAACGGAAAAATTCTTAAGAATGAAGCGATTTTCCATGTTTTAAAAAAACCTATTCGAAACGGAAACCTGCCAAACTGGAATATTCGGTACCCGGTTTACACAGGTTTCACTGTCCGCTATATACAGGTTTTCCAGAAATAAATCCAGAACATAACAATTAAAGGTGTAATTAATTTATACCAAAGAACTTTTCTATAATAGCAATTAAAAGTAATGGCTCATCGAACAGAAAATGGCTCATATCTGTGGAACACCATTATGTTTATGGTGTTTAATTGGCTATGGTTATTTATTAATGGTAATAAAGATTAATTAATCATTATCACAGTTTTCAATAAAAATAAATGATACTCAGCTTTCAATGCGATCATCACAAATAAATTTTGTTCTACCTCTTAAAATTAATTATCGAGTTATGGAAAATACTTTTGTAAATATTATATTTAATTATTTAATTAAAAGTATGGTACTATGTGTTTTATTTATATAAAGTGGTATCAATATAGAGATAAAAGACGTGTTCTTGATTATTCTGTTGGTGCTATTACATCATTCTGTATAATTTATATTATTTATATGTTTCTGTTATATGAAATAAACGTGTGACGTATTTTTATAAAATATGGAAATTTACATTTGCCTCATTAATTTCCTTACAGAAATTCAAACGTTGATGTATTTCCTAATTAAAAAATCCAGCGAGTTGCATAACTTTTCAAGCAAAATTTAAAATTGTAGTGGTGCCATCTATTGTCATATTTTATTAAAAAACTTTTTTTAAAATTTTTAACTATTATAAAATGACAAAACGCTTAATTTTGAGGGTAGGAGCGAATTTTATTTAAAATTGTAAATGCTAATAACGAGTAAATCGTCATTAAGTCCGACCCCACTCGAGAAAGAACGTTTGACCCCTCTCTATCTCCTCATCTCCTCGACCTTTAACCACCAAAATTTTATAATATCGACCCCTCTAATACATAAATCTCCCCACAAAATTTCAGAAATTTTCGACAAAGGGCACATTAAGCTTTAAAGTAGGGAGTGAAATCCTGCCCTCCCACACAGAAAAAAACCTCGATTTATTCTTGTATTTCTCGATGTTGCAAGGCCCCACGAGTCAAAAAATGTAAAAATTTGGAGTGAGCATTTTTTGACCAATCGCCAAACTTTCCCTCTGTTACCTGTAACAGAGGGACATAAATATAATGCTTATTAATCTCTGTACCTGTACTTATTAAGTTGTATTAATAAATTCTTCAATTTTTTACAGCATAATCTAGCAATTATTTCCCAGTCATTAAGCTAAGCTACAATACACCCTTAACAATAACAATTCTTTTTTCTATAATTTTATTATAGTTAATAGCACCACTTGTCACACATTTATTTATATCATGCAAATACAAAGACTGGGTCTGTATTTACTACGTCACACAAGAGCTTAACAGAGAAAGGAGCGTAAAATACTCCGCAGTTCAGTTTTAATGTCTGAATTTTACAAAAGTCCAGTAAGTTGCCTAACTTTCTCGGAAGAAAAAAAAAGGTAAAATGTAGTGACGCCATCTGTTAAGAATTTTAATTACAATTTTTTCAATTATTATAGAATTAATAATCGTATATAATCATTTAAATTTATTTGGGTATTTTAAAGATAAAAAATGATTAAATAATTTCGTTTTTTACTGACAGACAAGTGAGTGAAAATTAATTTGTCTGTACGTTTCTTTCGCTATACACTGACTAATTGTAATCAGAAAGGAAATAAATAAATATTTCGTTAATTCTTTATTAAACTTTTCGCATACAAAAAAAAAAAAAGTTAAAACTGTGTGTGGCGCCATCTGTTACGAGATTTTGTTTTAAAAACTTTTATATTATGAATTATTATAAAACGGCATTAATTTTGAGGGTATAGACGAGTTTTATAAACAATTCTATATGTTAATAATGAATAAAATCTTCATTAAGTCCAATCTAGAGATGCGGCACGTGACCTCCTATAACTCTCCAACCCCTCGACCTTTAATCTCCAAAATTAAATAGTATCAATCCCCTTAATACACAAACCTTCTCGCAAAATTTCAGAAATTTTCGAAAAAGGACACGAGAGATATTAATCTTCAAAGTGGGTGGAAAAAATCGTTCCCCAAACACACAAACACTTAACATATATACAGAAAAATCCCAAAATCTTGGGGGTCATTTATATGAATGAAAAGACGAAACTAAATAAGAGTAACGAGCGTGACGTTAGTTTCATTGATGTTACCGTAAAATAAAAAAAAACAAAGAATAGAGCGTTCAACGGTAAATTAATGGCGATAACTTATTTAAACAAGACAATAAGATTATTCTCCGAAGTGTTCTGACGTCACAGAGTGTATTTATCCCAGGCTGAACTTTGATTACTATGTACTTAATAGTTTCTAACGTTTCATCTAATCAATATTAAACGCGTTTACTTGAAGATTTACAAACTTGAAGACGGACACGATGGCTCTGAGGAGTGGACCAATCTGCTCCAAGAGCATGTGAACCACTTGGTGACATATTCGAGGTGGACTTTAGCGTCAGTGTATAATTCTCTTCTTCTCTTATCGATAGAGATTCCACAATGACTAACACAATTGTCAATATTTGTTTCAAATCAATATTAATCCTGCGCTAAAAAGTAAATATCTTCAATGGATTTCGCTTTTGCAAATTTTCATTAAACTCACTTCGTACTTAGTTAATCGTTACTTGCACTTAGTTCGCCATTAAGATAAAAAAAATCCAGCAGTGAGTTGCGTAACTTTTCCGGTAAGATTTAAAAATTGTGTGTGGCGCCATATGTTACGATTATTAATTATAAAGCGGCAATAAGCTTAATTTTGAGGTTAGAGAGGAGTAAGATCTTCCTTAAGTGAGGCAAAGAAAATGAATTTTGTCACCGATTTGTCGAATAAATTTACGGTAAAACCTGCCCAAAACGGAATCCGAATAAGACGGAGAAATCCGCCTAAACGGGGAAAAATTCTTCGGTACCCGTATGATTCCGGTTTACACAGGTTTGACCCAAATATTCCACGAATACGAGAAAACCAAGAGCACGTTTATGAAACACAGTGGAACCTGTGTTTCATAAACGTATTCGGGTTCTGCTTTGGAACCCGAATACAGGCTTCTTTGTAAGAATATTTTTCCCGTTTAAGCAGGTTTCCGTGTTATTCGGGTTCCATTTTGGGCGTGTTTTAGTGATAAATTTAGCAGTCATTTATTTTATTTTTTATTAAAACAAATTTAGACAATGGTCAATAATTATAACTCTTGGCTTATCTACAATTACGTTAGCCTTATAAACAGTATCATCGAAACAATGAATATCGTTTGGGCATTCTCCCTTCTTTGTGGACCAAACCTGCTTCTATGTCCTCCACTGCTGGCAATCCTTTGACGTCACCCAGGCAGGCAACAGCGGCTCTGCTCTTCAACAAACGAAGAGCTATTCTGTGAATGTCGTCCTCGTTCACCTTACCTGCAAAAAAATTCAAAATTTCATCATCGTCGTCCCGTAATTTAAATAAAATACGATAAAACCTCCGAAAGCTGGAACCGCACGGCACCGAATACGGTAAAACCTGTCCGAAACGAAATCCACCTAAACGAGGGGGGAAAATGTAGCGATTTTCTATGTCGAAAAAACTTGTTCAAAACGGAAAAATTCGCTTCCGGTTTACACAGGTTTGACTATTTTTTCCTGTTTGGCAAGCTTCCATTTTAAACTATTTTTCCCGTTTTTCTAATGTAGAAAATCGTTCCGTTCGTACAAATTTTTCCGTCTAGGAAGGTGTCCGTTTCGAACGGGTTTTTTATTACAGTAACAATGTAGACGTATTACCTATTTCTTCGATGTAATATTCTGGCGACTGATGCTTTCCAGTTGTTAAAACCTGTCTACCGATGTCCTCAAAAACAATGGGCCTGGACTCCAAGTTCATCAGTAACATGGACTGAAGCTGTGTTTTGGCTCTGCTTAACTCAGACTGAAA